AGCACGCCAAAGGAGCCCTGCGTGAAGTRTGGAGGACACCACTACCTTACCCAGTGCAAGGACTTCAAGGCTCTTCGCGTGAAAGATCGTCTAGCCTTTATCCAATCTAAGAGACTTTGTGTCAATTGTTTTAAGCCTGGTCACCTGGGCAAGGAATGTAGTAGGCCCTTTGTTTGCACTATCGATGGCTGTGGTCAAAAGCACAGCAAATTTCTACATCTGCCATCCAAGCCACCCCAAGAACCCGAAGTTGCGAGACAAAGTGTAGCTGTGCCGCAATCCCCTGCACAACCCAGTGCTCCAGTCGGCAGTAATTTTGTGGCTGGARGGAAGGAAAAGGTTGCTCTTCCCATTGTTGCTGTTCGTGTGAGGGGCRAGGGACTTGATAATTATACAGATACCTATGCTTTAATAGATCCTGGTGGAACTAGTGGATATTGTTCGGAAGACCTTGCCAAACACCTAGGTGTCCCAAGAAAGAACTACACTTGTAGTTTGTCTACTATTCACGAAAGTAACTCCCCAATCAATGCAGATTTCGTCAASCTGCAAGTCTCAAACGTAAATGGTGGGCCACAGTTCGACATGAAAGGAGTAATRGTCCGTCCTTCGTTGAACGTCGGACTGGACAACTTAGCCTCGTCAACCGACCTCAAAGAATGGCCTCACCTAGAAGATATATACATGCCTAAGTTGAATGTCAATGAGGTTCATTTACTGATTGGACAAGACACTCCAGACCTTACATTTCCGGAGGAGACCCGAAGAGGAAAGCCTGGTGAGCCATATGCTTGTCTCACTGCCCTGGGCTGGGTCATGAACGGCCCTATAGGCCAAGACAAGCAAGCCACTTTCACCTCGAACTTCACAAACGCCAAACAAGAATTGAACATTGACCGTCAATTAGAAACACTTTGGAAGTTAGAAGATAATGATTGCGGCGAAAGCCTAGGCTTGTCTAATAGTGACAGAAAGGCCTTGAGTGTTATGAATGAATCAGTAAAGCTTGTTGATCAACACTACACGATGGACATTCCATTTAAGGAAAGACCACCTGGATTGCCAGATAACCGTCCGGTGGCCGAACATCGACTAAATCTTCTTGGGAAGAGACTACAGAAGAACCCAGAGTTGTCGGAAAAGTATACCGCAAGTGTACACGAACTCCTTGAAAAGGGGTATGCTGAGCCTGTGAAGGAGGATAATCTGAAAGGAAGAGAAGGCTACACTTGGTTCCTTCCCCATCATCCGGTGCTGCACCCAAGAAAACCAGACAAGTGCAGGCTTGTATATGATTGCGCTGCCAAGTATCGAGGAGTGTCTTTAAATGACAAAGTCCATCAAGGTCCTGATCTGACGAACAGCCTCGTTGGAGTATTGCTTCGCTTTAGGCAGGAGCCTATTGCTCTGATGGCGGATATCCAGGGCATGTTCAACCAGGTACATGTGAGTGAGAATGATCGAGATGCCCTCCGATTCCTTTGGTGGGAAGAAGATGACCCGACCAAGACTCCATTGGTGTACCGGATGAAGA